TATATATATATATATATATATATATATATATATATATAACACTGTAAATACTGAAACAATTTTGTGTGTAATCCTTCTACGGTCAAAAGACAAAATAGGGTTATTTTATGTCTACTTTATAAGTTGACAAAATTAGAAGTGAATAAACTATTTGAAACTAATGACTCATACCACAGTGATATAATACTGGAATTTTTACAAAGGTGCAGTTACTTAAGATGGGCTAGGTGTATGACTTACTAATATTATCACACAAATATGCATTATTTTCTGACCCTAGATACTCTATAAAGAAATACTGCGGCTTTCGTAACTGGAATTTTAAAAAAATAAAATAAAAGCAGAGATTAAGCAAAATTATAAGGGAAAAACAGGATGCTGCTAGGAGAACTTGATAAACATACGCTCCCATCATGACAGCTACAAGAAATATTGATGGCTTCACCAACAAAAGGAGTGCCCTTGATCTGCTGACTTGAATCCAAGGAACCTTCATAAGAAAAAGGTAAGGCAAGGAATCAGACTAAGATCACAAAAGGAGAACAGTAAATCAGTACATTAATTTCACAAAACGTACTCAAGTCCAGAGGAACTATTTTGGCCCAAGAATCGCATATATTTTATAAATGGATAGAAGTGACAATTATAAAAGAGATTATGAGAAGATTGAAAAACAACACAGTAAATTTGTCATGGTAGATTTCTTGATATCGTAGATTTTGTGAGTGAATTCAAATATGTATGAACACTATGTGAATAATATTAAACAAATTTTGGATTGTATAATTACATTATAAATTCTTAAGATTTTTTAGATGTTATGTTTGTCCCATATCGATTAGTTACTGCGCTTTTGTGCATAAGTATGGGTCGGGCACCCTGTCTCTTGCAGCTAGCTTTTGCGCATGAGTTCTATCCAAACACATTTATCGGACCCATTTACCATGGCATCGGAGCAATCAAGATTTGTTTGTTTGGAGGCAATATTGGGTTTGGACCCGACCCGTTGGGTTTGGCACACTGTGTGAGGACAAGTGTTAGAAGTCACATTTGTCCCACATCGATTAGCTACTGGGTTGTTATTGGGCATAACATTACAACTTAATTTCCACTTAAATTGCTTAGCATATATGGATCTATATTTCACTTTAGAATATTCACAATATGGATGAGATAAAGACAAAGGAAATATTAGCTAGGAATAATTTTCAACAAATTAAGAAATGAAACTAAAATATAGATGAGATAAAGGAGATATTAGCAAGAAATAACTTTCAAACAAACTAAAAGCTCCAAACTGAAAACTAAAAACAGCAAAATTTGTCCCAATCCGAGCCAAGATCAAAATGTTGCTTGTACTTTTTTTATGACGATTAGTTGATTTTGAAAAAGTTAATGCAGAACTACGAATCCTAGTTGGGCCAATAGTTTATAAGACACAATGTCAGTCAAAATCGTGTTCATATAACAATTTTGACAAGAGATGAAATATTACATGCTATTCTGCCCTTTCTTATGATTTTCATATTTAAACTTTTTGCTATATCCGTAAGCACTCTTTAACATGTAATATCTCCTAATGGTTCAAGGGAACTTACATCCAGCAAACCATTTAACTTACAAACTCCATCTGCCTGGTTTATCTAGTGTAGCATCCTTGTTTTCTAGAATTTCACTGGACTTCATGCTATTTAGGCACACCAGTCACTCAGAATCATGTCGTACGAATTAGTTATAATTTGAAAAAATATATATGTTTGCTAAATTTTAAAAAATAATCGACATACTAATAACTTACTACACCAAATAAAAAACAATGCCAGAAAAACACATTAGCGCTAGACTGTCCATGGGGCCAAATCATTTAAAGTAACCCCATCGGTTTATTAACCATCTTTCTAGTTTTGACTTGCTCTGGTCCTAATGAACAGTCTCAAGTCTCAACATTTACTCACTTACACTGAGTCATATAAATTCACGTCACATCAGGAATTATAATACTTATCTATGATAATGTGATAGGGCCCCCTTACTATGTCTGCACAAGAACATAGTCCATATATACAAATAGTGAATCTTTTAGAAGGGGCAACAGTATCCATTATTTATTTCTAGTTTGTACCCTAGGAGAAAACTTAGGCATTTCCTAAAGGCTTCAAAAGAATAATAAACAAAGTAGGAGGAAAAAGAAAGGAAAGTTTCTACACTGGTCCACCTCTTAACAAATTCTGTAATTTAACCCAATAACAAAACGATATAGATAAACGGTATTATCTATATATAAATGATGTTTCTAGCAAGAAGAAAGTTGTGGTCAAATTGTCTTTGATTATTTATCTTGAAAATGTTACATGAATTAGAACAATTAAATAAAGCCAAAGTGGACATACAAAACTGAGGAAGATTGCACTGAGCATCGCCAAAAGCTTACGGTTTCCATCTGCAAAGTCTGCAACCCCTGCAACATGCAGATATAACAATCACCAGTGAAGCTATGTATCAACACTTAGAATCAACACACACACACACTATTATATTATATATTAATATTTGTTCTCATGTCCTACACATAGATGCTATTTGAGTTGTACAGCATGAAGTGAATCTCAAACTCGCTCGAGTTATTGAACTACAAGATAAGCCTCCATGTAAGGATAAACTTGTAA